AAAAAAAAAAAAAATGAAACTAGACCACCAACTTACACCATACACAAAAATAAACTCAAAATGGATAAAAGACTTAAACATAAGACAGGAAACCATAAAAACCCTAGAACAATAAGCAGCAAAATCTCTCCGTAGCAATATGTTTGCAGATACATCTCCTAGGGCAAAGGAAACTAGGAAGAAAATAACCAAATGGGACTACATCAAAGCAAAACGCTTCTGCACAGCAAAAGAAACCATCAACAAAATGAAAAGGGAGCCCACTGTATGGGAGAACATTTTTGACAAGGATACATGTGATAAAGGGTTAATATCCAAACTATATAAGGAACTCACACTACTTAACAAAAGGAAGACAAACAATCCAATTAAAAAATGGGCAAAGGACCTAAATAGGCACTTTTCCAAAGGGGACGTAGAGATGGCCAAGAGTCATATGAAAAATGCTCAAGTCACTGATCATCCACAACGAGGTTTCACCTCACACCTGTCAGAATGGCTACCATCCACAAATCAACAAATGACAAGTGCTGTCGAGGATGTGGAGAAAAGGAACCCTAGTACACTGCTGATGGGAATGCAGAATCGTGCAGCAATTATGGAAAACAGTATGGAGTTTCCTAAAAAAATTAAATATAGAACTGCCATTTGACCCAGTAATCCCACTTCTAGGGATATCCTAAGAAACCCAAAACACCAATCAGAAGGAATGTATGCACCCCTATGTTCATAGCAGTGCAATTTACAACAGCTAAGATCTGGAAACAGTCCAAGTGCCCATCAGGAGGTGAGTGGATAAAAAAAAGCTGTGGTACATTTATACCATGGAGTACTATGCAGCAGTAAAAAAGGAGAATCTCTTAAGCGAAATAAGCCAGTCAGAGAAAGACAAGTATCACATGATCTCACTCAAATGTGGACTCTAATGAACAAAGTAAACTGCTGAACAAAGAAGATCCAGAGACACAGAAGCATGGAACAGACTGTCAGATCTCAGATGGAAGGTGGGAAGAGATCAACCAAAGAACTTGTATGCATATATGCATAGCCCATAAACACAGACAATAAGAGTGGTAGAGGCCTCAGGCGGGGGGCGGGTGTGGGCTATAAGGTGGGGGGAGGGGACACATGCAATAGTTTCAACCACAGAGATTTAAGTAAAAAATAATAAATAAATAAACACAGCTCAAAGGTCAAACATTCTATGATTTCACTTCTATGAGGTATCCAGACTAGTCATAATCATAGTAGAAAGTAGAAAATAGAAAGGTGGTTGCTGAGGGCAAAGGGGAGGGCAGATGGGGTTGTTAGTGTTTAATGGGGACAGAGTTTCAGTTTTACAAGATGACAAGAGCTGTGTGGATGGATGGTGGTGATGGCCACACAATGTGAACATACTTAATGCCACTGAACTATATACTTAAGAATGATGATGCCTTAACCGGTTTGGCTCAGTGGATAGAGGGTCAACCTGCGCACTCAAGGGTCCCAGGTTCGATCCGGGACAAGGGCATGTACCTTGGTTGCGGGCACATACCCAGTAGGTAGTGTGCAGGAGGCAACTGATCGATGTTTCTCTCTCTCTATCCCTCTCCCTTCCTCTCTGTAAAAAAATCAATAAAATATACTAAAAAAGAAAGAAATAAGGCTTCTTTAAAAAAAAAGAATGATTAAGCCCTGGCCTGTGTGGCTCAGCTGGTTGAAGCATCGTCCCATGCATCAAGAGGTGGCAGGTTCCATTCCCAGTCAGGGCACAAACCCAAGTTGCGGCTTCAATCTCTGGTCAGGGCGAGTGCGGGAGCAACTGATGGATGTTTCTCACATTGATGTTGCTCTCTCTCTCTAAGCATGTTTACGTGTGAGGATTAAAAAAAAGTCCTAGCTGGTTTGGCTCAGTGGATAGAGCATTAGCCTGCAGACTGAAGAGTCCCAGGTTCCAAATTGGTCAAGGGCACATGCCCGTGTTGCAGGCTTGATCCCAAGTGGGGGTGTGCAGGAGGCAACCAATCAATGAATCTCTCTCATCGATGATGTGTCTGTCTGTCTGTCTCTCTCTCCCTTCCTCTCTGAAATCAATAAAAATATATTTTAAAAAAAGAATGATTAAGATGGTTACATTTATATTGTGTATTTTACCAGTTAAAAAACAAAATTAAGACAGCTCACTGAGTCTTCATGACACACAGTGGAGGTCAAAACTAAGGGTATTGCTGATGGCTCAAGACAGCATGTCAAACAGAAATAAAAACACTTCACAACCCACACATGGCCGTGGCCTGTGCACAGGGCTTTATACACTTTTTAAAAAAAATATATATTTTTATTGATTTCAGAGAGGAAGGGAGAGGGAAAGATAGAAACATCAATGATGAGAATCATTTGCTTCCTGCACACCCCCTACTGGGGGTCAACCTAGGCATATACCCTGACTAGGAATTGAACTGAGACCTCCTGGTTCATAGGTTAACACTCAACCACTGAGCCACACAGGCTGGGCTATACATTCTTTTCTTCCACCTAGCCTCTGTAATAACTCAGGATCCCAGGGGTTTTGATTATGTTTGTACTGCTGGAGATTGAGACTCGGGAAAGTTATGTAATGTGCCCAGTCACAGCTGGTCCAACTCCAATCCCCTGGTCACTCCCAGGGCCCCCCTCCACCACCCACTCCCTGCTTAGCCACTCCCGACAGCAGGGCCTCACCCAGCAGGAGCCACAGGAACCCTGGTCTCTGATCTCCTTGATGGTCGGGCAGTTTGGCCAGTTTTCCCGGGCATCGAAGTTTTCAGGCAGAGTTATGTCCTCAGCAAGCCACACTCTGGATAAAGGAAGATCTCCATTATAGACTTGCATCTTACCACCTGTGCTGCTCATCCCACCCCGTCCCTGCAAAGGCCAGCTGCCCGCGGGCCGTCCCCGAGAAAGGGAGTGAGGCACACAACATACAGAACAGGGATGTCCTCCTGGAAGTTTAGAAAATAAAACCTGATTCTGCTGCTTAACACAACTTACCACCCCACAGCCTTCTTTCTCGACTTATTTTGTGGATGTTTTTCACGAGTTTTAGCCACAGGGTCCAGATCATTGTGTTTCTTGCGTCCCCCGCCCCACCCCCAATCATACATCTGCCCTGGCTCCTCACATCATCATTTTTAATATTTTTGCCACTGTGTGATGTCCCATAACTTCACTAACCCACCCTCACTGTCAAGATTGATTTACTGCTTCCTACAAGAGGAATAATGCCTACATGAAACTGTCCAGAATTTTCTAGAAAAGTCAAACATCAAGGGCAGATCACCTGGCTTTTCCCTGAATTTCCTTATTCAAGATTGGGCCCACCTAGCTTGTGGAGACCCAGACTTGGGGCCTTTCCCACCGGAGAAGCACGTGGGAAACACTGGCATTTGGGGCTGAGCCCTGCCCTCAAGTAGAGTCGCTGGGAGAGTAAGAACTGTGGACACCAGGGAGGCCTTCTCTCTTCCCTCTTTCCCACTGTCCCAAACCAACGCCTGCTCCTCATGCCCCAGGGAGCAGATACTCACTTCTCGGGCAGCTTGGGCCCGCCCAGCTTGGTGCCACACAGCGTCCTCACATAGCTCATGTCCACGTTGCGGAAGTTGTGTCCGGCCTGGAAGACAGCCCATCCCAACAGTCACCCACCAACAGAGGGGGTGTTTCCGGGGACAGGGGGGATGAGACTAGGACGCTGCTCACATTCAAGGCCGGACAAGGTCAGGGGTCCCTCCCAACTCAGCAGAGGATGGGGGCTGCTCTACCGCTACAGACCAACAAATTTCCCCCAAATTCATGCTGAAACCTAACCTGCAGTGTGCTGGTATCTGGAAGAGATTCTGAAAGGTGCTCAGGTCATGAGGGTGGAGTCCTTATGCAGGGGATTAGTGCCCCGATAAAGGAACCGCCAGAGAGCTCCCCTGCCCCGCCCACCATGTGAGGGTACGGAGAGAAGCCAGCCATCTACAAGCTGGAAGAGGGCCCTCACTAGAACCTGACCCTGCTGGCACCTTGATCCTGTACTTCCAGCCTCCAGAACTATGAGCGATGAATTTGTTTATAAGCCACCCAGTGTGTGGCATTTTGTAGCAGCCTGAATAGTCTAAGATGGGCTCCCTGCAGAGCAGGCCAGGACCAGTCCAGAGGGACCTCGTGGGCAGCGTGCAGCTCTCAGACCAGTGGGGGTCTCCTCTTTTCAGCTCATGTCAAGAGAGACCCCCACAGCCCTGAACATGCCCTATTCCTCATTTCTTTGTTCCCGAAGTCCCAGGCCTCAGGGCTGGGCAGAACCAAGGAGCTGCTAGTATTGATGAGCCACAACACCTACCACAATGGAGCTCAGTTAGGAACACTTCCAAAGCCATTTACCTTCCCACGCACCTCCAACACGCTCACATACGCACGC